ATTTCAGCCCTGCCACAAAAGAACCAGCTGACATCATGTCAGTGATTCTCTCGTTAACACAGGTGAGAGTGTTGACGAGGACAAGGCTGGAGATCACTCTGTCATGTTGATTGAGTCAGAATAACAGACTGGAAGCTTTAAAAGGAGGGTGAAAAAGGTGCTTGAAAAAGGTGCTTGAAATCATTGTTCTTCCTCTGTTAACCATGGTTACCTGCAAGGAAACACATGCCGTCATCATTGCTTTGCACAAAAATGGCTTCAGAGGCAAGGATATTGCTGCTAGTAAGATTGCACCTAAATCAACCATTTATCGGATCATCAAGAACTTCAAGGAGAGAGGTTCAATTGTTGTGAAGAAGGCTTCAGGGCACGCAAGAAAGTCCAGCAAGCGCCAGGACCGTCTCCTAAAGTTGATTCAGCTGCGGGATCGGGGCACCACCAGTGCAGAGCTTGCTCAGAAATGGCAGCAGGCAGGTGTGAGTACATCTGCACGCACAGTGAGGCGAAGACTTTTGGAGGATGGCCTGGTGTCAAGAAGGGCAGCGAGGAAGCCACTTCACTCCAGGAAAAACATCAGGGACAGACTGATATTCTGCAAAAGGTACAGGGATTGGACTGCTGAGGACTGGGGTAAAGTAATTTTCTCTGATGAATCCCCTTTCCGATTGTTTGGGGCATCCGGAAAAAAGCTTGTCCAGAGAAAACAAGGTGAGCGCTACCATCAGTCCTGTGTCATGCCAACAGTAAAGCATCCTGAGACCATTCATGTGTGGGATTGCTTCTCAGCCAAGGGAGTGGGCTCACTCACAATTTTGGCTAAGAACACAGCCATGAATAAAGAATGGTACCAACACATCCTCAGAGAGCAACTTCTCCCAACCATCCAAGAACAGTTTGGTGACGAACAATGCCTTTTCCAGCATGATATAGCACCTTGCCATAAGGCAAAAATGATAACTAAGTGGCTCGGGGAACAAAACATCGACATTTTGGGTCCATGGCCAGAAAACTCCCCAGACCATTGAGAACTTGTGGTCAATCCTCAAGAGGCGGGTGGACAGACAAAAACCCACAAATTCTAACAAACTCCAAGCATTGATTATGCAAGAATGGGCTGCCATCAGTCAGGATGTGGCCCAGAAGTTAATTGACAGCATGCCAGGGCGGATTGCAGAGGTCTTGGAAAAAGAAGGGTCAACACTGCAAATATTGACTCTTTGCATAAACTTAATGTAATTGTCAATAAAAGCCTTTGACACTTATGGAATGCTTGTAATTATACTTCAGTATACCATAGTAACATCTGACAAAAATATCTAAAAACACTGAAGCAGCAAACTTTGTGAAGACCAATGCTTGTGTCATTCTCTAAACTTTTGACCACTTTTGACCACTGGCTTCCTGTTAAGGCTAGGGCTGATTTCAAGGTTTTACTGCTAACCTACAAAGCATTACATGGACTTGCTCCTACCTATCTCTCCGATTTGGTCCTGCCGTATATACCTACTTGTACGCTACGGTCACAAGACGCAGGCCTCCTTATTGTTCCTAGAATTGCAAAGCAAACAGCTGGAGGCAGGGCTTTCTCTTATAGTGCTCCATTTTTATGGAATGGTCTGCCAATCCATGTGAGAGTCGCAAACTCGTTCTCAACCTTTAAGTCTTTATTGAAGACTCAACTCTGCAGTAGGTCCTTTGATTGAGTGTAGTCTGGCCCAGGGATGCGAAGGTGAACGGCAAGGCACTGGAATGACGAACCGCCCTTGCTGCCTCTGCCTGGCCAGCTCCCCTCTCTCCACTGAGATTCTCTGCCTCTGACCCTACTACGGGGCCTCGTCACTAGCTTACTAGTGCTCTTCCATGCCGTTTCTAGGAGGGATGCCTCACGTCGTGCCAGGTTTTTTTGCGCTATACTCGACTTGAGTGGGTTGAGTCACTGACGTGATCTTCCTGTCAGGTCTTACGCCCCCTCGGGCTCGTGAGGTGGAGGAGATCTTTGTGGGCTATACTCAGGCTTGTCTTAGGGTAGTAAGTTGGTGGTCTGTTGATATCCCTCTAGTGGTGTGGGGGCTGTGCTTTAGCAAAGTGGGTGGGGTTATATCCTGCCTGGTTGGCCCTGTCAGGGGGTATCGTCGGACGGGGCCACAGTGTCCCCCAATCCCCCCCGTCTCAGCCTCCAGTATCTATGCTGCAATAGTCTATGTGCCGGGAGGCTAGGGTCAGTCTGTTATATCTGGTGTAATTCTCCTGTCTTTATCTGTTGTCCTGTGTGAATTTAAGTATGTTCCCTCTAATTCTCTCTATCACTCCCCTCCCGGAGGACCTGAGCCCTAGAACCATGCCTCAGGACTACCTGGCCTGATGACTCCTTGCTGTCCCCAGTCCACCTGGTCGTGCTGCTGCTGCAGTTTCAACTGTTCTGCCTGCGGCTATGGAACCCTGACCTGTTCACCGGACGTGCTACATTGTCCCGGACCTGCTGTTTTCGACTCTCCCTCTCTCCCTCTCTACCGCACCTGCTGTCTCGACCTCTGAATGCTCGGCTATGAAAAGCGAACTGATATTTACTGAACTGTTGCACCCTCTACAACCACTGTGATTATTATTTGACCCTGCTGGTCATCTACGAACGTTTGAACATCTTGAAGAACAATCTGGCCTTAATTGCCACATACTCTTATAACCTCCACCTGGCACAGCCAGAAGAGGACTGACCACCCCTCAGAGCCTGGTTCCTCTCCAGGTTTCTTCCTAGGTTCCTGCCTTTCTAGGGAGTTTTTCCTAGCCACTGTGCTTCTACATCTGCATTAGGCTGTGTTTCTTTATAAGCACTTTGTGACATCTGCTGATGTAAAAAGGGCTTTATAAATACATTTCATTTGATTTGAACTGCCTGTGTAAACGCAGCCTTTAAGATTATTTGGAGCTGGGCCTGCAAGTTTGCAATAGATGCAGTGGCAAACTGAAATGCTTGTGTAGCAACCTAGGGTTTAGAAACTTTAGATTACTTTACGGGCTTGCAGATTTGTTTAAAAAGGAGGATGTCCTTTAGCGCTGAGTTTGTAACATATTTTGCACAGAGTTCATAAACCCAGAGTTGCAACGTCGCAAGACTTTCGGGAACGCTTGCAAAACAGACCAAACAGACCAGGCCATGGTTTGGGGTTTGAGAAGTCATTGAGAGAAGTGAACAACTCTTCCTTAGTTGTTCATTTTCTCGACATATGAAGGCACAGCCTAGATTCGAGACAATGTCTTAAGTAGTTGAACATGTTATTACTCCAACCTCGTTAAAGTGACAAACTGACACGTTTTCATTTTCGTCAAAAATAACTTTATATCGAAGGAGTGCCTTTGATTTGACGGCCTGCACATGCGCAGTTTGGCGCGAGACGACCGTTTCTACGCATGAGCTTTGCTAGCCAACGTCGCCATGGCATGACATCGCCTAAAAGTGTGATCGGGGATTTCTATTGGAGAAGCAGTTTTAGCCTATCTTCATACTGTACTGTCTTTGATATAAATACCATGGATGAGATATGAAAAAAAGTAAAGGCCCACGATTGCCATCTAGTGGAGAACGGGTTAATCGTGTTGAAGTCCTTTGCCAGTACCGTCGTATATAGAAGTGCTTCATCTCTATTACAATACGGCAACTTGCCCTTACTTGTGAAATCAGACATGGCGTCCTCATTGATTTGCAGTAAAACACAGAGCAGGTAAGAAAACGTGTTAGTTTGGCATTTTAACACACGGTGTGCGAGTTAGATATCTAACGTTATACCTTTAGATGTTGCCACATTTGATTAAGAGTTCAAAATAAACGTTTGTGTTAGCCCCCCAAATAAGCGTCTGACATTATGCTCAATGTAGCTGAGGAACGCTCAACTCCGTTCTGTTATATTGAGGCGAATTGAGTTTTGATAACAAGTTGCGGGATTTACTAGCAACAACGTTGAGTCACCATCAGTCGATTCTTGTTAAAATGTACATTCTGAATACGCTTACCTGTACCTATTTTTGTACTGTACAACTGCGGTTCTTCCGCGGGGTGCTCAAATTCATACTTAATACAAACCTATCGAATAGAACCACCGACATTTTCCTCATTTGTGGCACTCAACTCGTGTGCCAATTGAATCTGTTTATAGTAAGTAGTACGAGCAACACAAATTAGGAAAAAGTCGGACTTTTTTATTAAAAGTATAAATTAACACAGTTGTACAGGTAAGCGTTTTCAGAATCGACTGATGGTGACACAATGTTGTTGCTAGCCCTTGATCATGCCTCTTATTTCCATCACATTACATAGTCATCCGATGAAGGCGTCTTCTGTATGGAGGAGTTTTGTTAAGAGCTCTGACGTTTGGTCTGAACATTAACACGCATCGCTTGCGGTACGTTTTTGGAAGCATAAAGACCTTATCTTTCCTTATCTTTCATATCGAAAGCATAAAGACCTTATCTTTCATATCAGTGAGAAATAATTTTCAAAAAAGAAAGGTAAATTGTTACACACCGTTTTTAGGGTTAGTGTTCCCACACGGCCATATCTCCATGATACAGCGCGCGTATTTACGGAAAACAGAGTGGATTACCTGTGCTAATTAGCTATCTATGTCTCCTAACACCTGTGTGAAGACGGACGCCACAAAGGCGTTGTCACTGAGAAATACTGTCGGCTGCAACTGTTAAAAACAATCATTATTTTGATGTGATATGAAAGTAGAGGGGTTTATTTTTCTTGGACCATACCGCAATTGAGAATTGATTCACGTTTAGATTGAGTATTTGGCTGTTTTGGCTTCCAGAGCCAAATCTCCTTTAAACAGAACATGTAAGGTCCTTGGACCAACTTCGCCTCGATATAAGAGAATGGAATTGAGCATTCCTTTGCTATGCTGAAATCTCTCTTGAACATCCCAGAATGTAGCAGTCCTGCTGCAGCATGATGATGTCATGACTGTAAAATTGCCATGTGTCTATTTTTGTTTTTACAGAGTAAGCTCGGTTTTAAACAGAGATGTCAAGCAATTTGGGAAGAAGTACATGTTTGACTCAAATGAAGAAACTTGCTGGAACTCTGACCAGGTAACTACAATCACAATATAGCCGCGCATACCTCAAAAGGGCCACCATCGGCACATGCGTGTGCGTCTCTATTGCCTCTCCTTCCCCATGAAGTGTGCACTTGTTCACTTCCCTTCATGAATTTGAAAGTAAATGACAGGGATATGGATCTAGCCCAGGCCAATATTAATCCAATTCAATTTGTGGGGAGTAGTGAATGAGTGCACACCTGGAGGAGAGATCATTGGGATGCACTATGTGGTTATGATATTAATACTAGTATTATTGTTAGGCTACCCCTCTGCTCCCAGGCTTCACTCACAAAGGTGAGGTTAAAAGCCTGTTGCTGAGGCTAGCTAGTAGCTACCCCATGACATAGGAGAGCCAGAATTGTTTCGACCTAAGCTCAACAATGTACATCTTTCCCTACAGGTCGAAACGCTCAGATGTCATAGTATGGGCACCGCGGAGCCGGTGTGGGATATGGCTCAAAAACGTACCTCAATCCAGGGATGGAAGATATTGCTGTACTCCTAATTATCCCAACTGACAAACCGAGAAAATTGAAATACTGCTAGTTTTTAATTAAACTGCCTTTTTCATCCTCATGCTAGGCTAAAGCAGCCCATTGGATTCCATGAAATTGCGATGCCTAGTTTTGGGGTGAGTAGCTATGGAATCCAATGGGTTGCTTTAGCCTAGCTAGCCTAGCATGAGGACGAAAAAGGCAGTTTAATTAAATACGAGCAGTATTTCAATGTTCTTGATTTGTCAGTTGGGATAATGGGATAATTAGGAGTACAGCAACATCTTCATCCTTGGATTGAGGTATATTTTCGAGCCATATGCTGTGCCAGCTCTGCAGTGTCCACATTATGGCAGCCAAGCGTTTCGAGTTGTGGGGAAAATTTTACTTATTGCTGAGCTCAGGTCGAAACAATTAATATCATAATAATAATATATGCCATTTTATCTAAAGTGACATACAGTCATGCTCTACCAACTGAGCTACATAGGACCATATTCTGGCTACCCTATGACACTGTCACTACATTCCCTTTTTACAGGGTGATTCTCAGTGGGTTACTCTGGAATTCCCACAGCCCGTCAGAGTGTCAGAATTAAAGGTGCAGTTCCAAGGAGGCTTTTCAGGAAAAACATGCAGATTGGAAGGTAACACACACACTCTTTTGGTCAGTGTATCACAATGAAGTTGTGATTTGAAATGATTTATTATAACATTGTCATACTATGCTTTAATAACGTATCATATGTTTAAAAAGAGACAAACTCTGTCCATGTCAAAGATCCTGAAAAGTTTTCCACTTGTTTTCCCCTCAGGAAGCCCAAAAGATGGAGACTTGGCAAAAATCACACATTTTTACCCCGAAGACAACAGCTCACTACAAATATCCTTCAATGTATTATTAAATGTCTCTAAAATCATACCAGTTCAAATTAGTTGGTAATAAGCCTTGTCCAAGCCAGAATGGCCCGTAGGGCAGGAGCGTATCTCCTGTTTCTGTAGCGTGAGTAGGGTGACCACATGTCCCGGATTGTGCTGGACAATCCCGCATTTTGGCCATTTGTCCCACCTCCCGCAACCAAACAATTATGTCCCGCATTTTATCAATAAATTCGAACAAAACAAATTTACAAATAAGGTTGATTTGTCCAGTATTTCAGTTAGACATTCCAACCTGTCTCTTTTGCAGTCACGTTGCACATTTGATAAATTACAGTGCCTTGCAAAAGTATTCAGACCCCTATTATTTCTTCACATTTTATTGGTACAAAGTGGGATTAAAATTGATTTAATTGTCTTTTTTTTTTTGTCAACAATCTACACAAAATACTTGTCAGTGGAAGAAAAATGTCATAATACAAAAAAAGTAATATTTCTATAACTCCAATATAGCCGTTGCATCAGTATTCAGCCCCTTTGTTTAGGCAAGCCTAAATTAGTTCAGGAGTAACATTTTGCTTAACAAATCACAAAATAAATTACAAATCCAAATCAAATATTGTAAAGTGGTTATCCCACTGGCTATAAGGTGAATGCACCTATTTGTAAGTCGCTCTGGATAAGAGCGTCTGCTAAATGACGTAAATGTAAATTGTATTTGTCACATGCGCCAAATACATCAGGTGTAGACCTTACTGTGAAATGCTTACTTACAAGACCTTAACCAACAATGCAGTTCAAGAGATGGTTAAGAAATATTTACTAAATAAAATACTGGGCCGTACACACTACCCTCTGTAGCGCTTTACGGTCGAATGCCGAGTAGTTGCCATACCAGGCGGTGATGCAACCGGTCAGGATGCTCTCGATGGTTCAGCTATAGAACCTTTTGAGGATCTGGGGACCCATGCCAAATATTTTCAGTGTCCTGAGGGGGAAACGGTGTTGTCGTGCCCTCTTCAACTGTCTTGGTGTGTTTGGACCATGATAGTTAGTTGGTGATGTGGACTCCAAGGAACTTGAAACGCTCAACCCGCTCCACTACAGCCCCGTCGATGTTAATGGGGGCCTGTTCGGCCCTCCTTTTCCTGTAGTCCACGATCAACTCCTTTGTCTTGCTCACATTGAGGGATAGGTTGTTGACCTGGCACCACACTGCCAGGTCTCTGACCTCATCCCTATAGGCTGTCTCATTGTGTCATCAGCAAACTTAATGATGGTGTTGGAGTCGTGCTTGGCCACACAGTCATGGGTGAACAGGGAGTACAGGAGGGGACTAAGCACACACCCCTGAGGGGCCCCAGTGTTGAGGATCAGCGTGGCAGATGTGTTGTTGCCTACCCTTACCACCTGGGGGTGGCCCGTCAGGATGTCCAGGATCCAGTTGCAGAGGGAGGTGTTTAGTCCCAGGGTCCTCAGCTTAGTGATGAGCTTTGTGGGCACTATGGTGTTGAACGCTGAGCTGTAGTCAATGAACAGCATTCTCACATACAGTGGGGAGAATAAGTATTTGATACACTGCCGATTTTGCAGGTTTTCCTACTTACAAAGCATGTAGAGGTCTGTAATTTTTATCATAGGTACACTTCAACTGTGAGAGACGGAATCTAAAACTAAAATCCAGAAAATCACATTGTATGATTTTTAAGTAATTCATTTGAATTTTATTGCATGACATAAGTATTTGATCACCTACCAACCAGTAAGAATTCCGGCTCTCACAGACCTGTTAGTTTTTCTTTAAGAAGCCCTCCTGTTCTCTACTCATTACCTGTATTAACTGCATCTGTTTGAACTCATTACCTGTATAAAAGACACCTGTCCACACACTCAATCAAACAGACTCCAACCTCTCCACAATGGTAAGAGCGTTGAAGATGGGTCGTGGCTGGGTCTTCCAGCATGACAATGACCCGAAACACACAGCCAGGGCAACTAAGGAGTGGCTCCGTAAGAAGCATCTCAAGGTCCTGGAGTGGCCTAGCCAGTCTCCAGACCTGAACCCAATAGAAAATCTTTGGAGGGAGCTGAAAGTCCGTATTGCCCAGCGACAGCCCCGAAACCTGAAGGATCTGGAGAAGGTCTGTATGGAGGAGTGGGCCAAAATCCCTGCTGCAGTGTGTGCAAACCTGGTCAAGACCTACAGGAAACGTATGATCTCTGTAATTGCAAACAGGTTTCTGTACCAAATATTAAGTTCTGCTTTTCTGATGTATCAAATACTTATGTCATGCAATAAAATGCAAATGAATTACTTAAAAATCATACAATGTGATTTTCTGGATTTTTGTTTGAAATTTCCGTCTCTCACAGTTGAAGTGTACCTATGATAAAAATTACAGACCTCTACATGCTTTGTAAGTAGGAAAACCTGCAAAATCGGCAGTGTATCAAATACTTGTTCTCCACACTGTAGGTGTTCCTTTTGTCAAGGTGGGAAAGGGCAGCCTTTCGAAGCACTTCATGGCTACTGACGTGAGTGCTATTGGGCGGTAGTCATTTAGGGAGGTTACCTTCGCTTTCTTGGGCACGGACTATGGTGGTCTGCTTGAAATATGTAGGTATTGCAGCCTCGGTCAGGGAGAGGTTGAAAATGTCAGTGAAGACACTTGCCAGTTGGTCTGCACATGCTCTGAGTACGCATCCTGGTAATCCGTCTGGCCCCGCATCCTTGTGAATGTTGACCTGTTTAAAGGTCTTGCTCACATCGGCTACGTAGAGCGTGATCACACAGTCGTCTGAAACAGCTGGCGCTCTCATGCATGCTTCAGTGTTGCTTGCCTCGAAACGAGCATAAAAGGCATTTAGCAAGTTTTAGAACACCTACTCATTCAAGGGTGTATTTTTACTATTTTCTACATTGTAGAATAATAGTGAAAACATCAAAACTATGAAATAACACATGGAATCATGTAGTAACCAAAAAAAGTGTTCAACAAATTAAAATATACTTGATGACAGCTTTGCACACTCTTGGCATTCTCTCAACCAGCTTCATGAGGTAGTCACCTGGAATGCATTTCAATTAACAGGTGTGCCTTCTTAAAAGTTACATTTGTGGAATTTCTTTCCTTCTTAATGCGTTTGAGCCAATCAGTTGTGTTGTGACAAGGTTGGGGGGGTCAATACGGAAAATTTCAAGAACTTTTCAAGTTTCTTCAAGTGCAGTCGCAAAAACCATCAAGCACTATGATGAAACTGTCTCTCATGAGGACCGCCACAGGAATGGAAGACCCAAAGTTACCTCTGCTTCAAAGGATAAGTTCATTAGAGTTACCAGCCTCAGAAATTGCAGCCCAAATAAATGCTTCACAGAGTTCAAGTCACAGACACATCTCAACATCAACTGTTCAGAGGAGACTGTGTGAATCAGGCCTTCATGGTCAAATTGCTGCAAAGAAACCACTACTAAAGGACACCAATAAGAAGAAGAGACTTGCTTGGGCCAAGAAACAAGAGCGATGGACATTAGACCGGTGGAAATGTGTCCTTTGGTCTGGAGTCCAAATTTGAGATTTTTGGTTCCAACCGCCATGTCTTTGAGAGACGCGGTGTGGGCGAACGGATTATCTCTGCATGTGTATTTCCCACCGTAAAGCATGGAGGAGGAGGTGTTATGATGTGGGGGGGGCTTTGCTGATGACACTGTCTGTGATTTATTTAGAATTCAAGACACACTTAACCAGCATGGCTATCACAGCATTCTGCAGCGATACGCCATCCCATCTGGTTTGGGCTTAGTGGGACTATCATTTGTTTTTCAACAGGACAATGACCCAACACACCTACAGACTGTGTAAGGGCTATTTTACCAAGAAGGAGAGCAATGGAGTGCTGCATCAGATGACCTGGTCTCCACAATCCCCCGACCTCAACTAAATTGAGATGGTTTGGGATGAGTCGGACTGCAGAGTGAAGGAAAAGCAGCCAACAAGTGCTCAGCATATGTGGGAACTCCTTCAAGACTGTTGGAAAAGCATTCCAGGTGAAGCTGGTTGAGAGAATGCCAAGAGTGTGCAAAGCTGTCATCAAGGCAAAGGGTGGCTACTTTGAAGAATCTGAAATATAAAATATTTGGATTCGTTTAACACTTTTTTGGTTACTAACATGATTCCATATGTGTTATTTCATAGTTTTGATGTCTTCACTATTATTCTACAATATAGAAAATAGTCAAAATTAAGAAAAAACATAGAATGAGTAGGTGTTCTAAAACTTTTGACCGGTAGTGTAGTAGGATTAAATCTTAATCCTGTATTGATGCTTTTTTTGCCTGTTTGATGGTTCGTCTGAGGGCGTAGCGGGATTTCTTATAAGTGTCTGGATTAGTGTCCCGCTCCTTGAAAGCGGCAGCTCTAGCCTTTAGCTCGTGCGGATGTTGCCTGTAATCCATGGCTTCTGGTTGGGATATGTACATACGGTCACTGTGGGGACGACGTCGTCGATGCACTTATTGATGAAACCGGTGACTGAGGTGGTATACTCCTCAATGCCATTGGATGAATCCCGGAACGTGGAGTCAGTATAAATAATAGGGGTTGACATGATTTTTGAATGACTAACCCTTCCTCTGTCCCCCATACATATACATATGTAAGGTCCCTCAGTCAAGTATTGAATTTCAAGCACAGATTCAACTACAAAGACCAGGTGGCTTTTCGAAAGCCTCATAAAGAAGGGCATTGATTGGTAGATGGGTAACGATAACAAATCAGACATTGAATATCTCTTTAAGCATGGTCAAGTTAATAATTATGCTGTGGATTATTTATTGAACTACCCAGACACATCAAAGATAATCGTCCTTCTGAACTGAGCTGCAGGACAGGAATGAAACTGCTCATGGATGTTTCCATGAGGCCATTGGGGATTTTAAAACAGCTACAGAGTTCAATGGCTGTGATGAGGGAGAACTGAGGATGGATCAACAACATTGTAGTGACTCCACAACATTTACCAAAATGGCAGAGTGAAAAGAAGAATACAAATATACATTAATCTTGTATGCAACTAGGCAATACTGCAAAAAAACACGGCAAAGGAATACACTTTTTGGCCTAAATGCAAAGCCTTATGTTTGGGGCAAATCCAACACAACAGATCACTGAATAACTGCCTCCTTATTTTCAAGCATGGTGGTGGCTGCATCATGGTATGGGTATGCTTGACATCGGCAAATACTGGGGAGTTTTTCCAGATAAAAAGAAATGGGATGGATCTAAGCACAGGCAAAATCCTAGAAGAAAACCTGCTTCAGTCTGCTTTACACCAGACACTGGGAGAGGAATTCACCTTTCAGTAGGACAATAACCTACAACAAGGCCAGATCTACAGTGGAGTTGCTTACCAACAAGACAGTGAATGTTCCTGAATGGCCAAGTTACCGTTTTGACGTAAAACTGCATGGAAATCTATGGCAAGACTTGAAAATAGCTGTCTAGCCATGATCCCCAACATCTTGACAGAGCTTTTAAAAAGAATAATAGGCAAATATTGCACAATCCAGGTGTGCAAACAGCCTTTAGAGACTTACTGAAGAAGACTCACAGCTGTAATCACTGCCAAAGGTGTTTCTAACACTGAATACTTATGCTGAATACTTATGCTATGACTATATTTGAGTTATTACAAAAAATATGAAAAAATGTTCTTCCACTTTGACAGAGTATTTTGTGTAGATTGTTGACAAAAAATGACAATTCAATTAATTTTAATCCCACTTTGTAACACAAAAAAATGTTAGGAAATCCAAGGGGTCTGAATACTTTTGCAAGGCAATATTAAAGTGCCTTTGAACGGGGTATGGTAGTAGGTTCCAGGTGCACCTGCTTGTATCAAGAACTGCAACACTGCTGGGTTTTCACGCTCAACAGTTTCCCGTGTATACTGGTGATGTTAAACACTTCTCCAATCGTTGTTGAGCTCTGAAATTATGCGCACCGCAAGACGTATGCCAGTGTCATCCTTTCTGTCTAAATTCCAGCTAAACTGAGAAGGGTGTAGCTGCATCCCATTATGGCGACTGGAGAGTGGGTGTGTTGATCAAGATTAGTCATTTGGGCAGTGTTGAATGCATGTCTTATAGGTTTAGCGTTTTTTTTTATTACCCCGAACTACCGGTTACATGTCGCCTACACATCCTGCCCCTCTCCGTACCCGACGACCCAGATGTCTGAGTCGTATTTCATGTAGTTTTGCCCAATATCGTTGGCCTTTCAGTATAAAAGCTGATCAATGTTTAATTTTATTGTAACAGTTTGCTGATGGCGATGTGTGAACTGGTCCACTCATGGTATGTGATGGCTTAGTGCTGTCACGGCGTATTGCTAGCAACAGTTTAGGATTACCCAGTGCTTTTGTTGCCGCAGAACCAGCGTCTTGTAAGTGCGAGCGAGAAGGGCGACTGTTTTCCCGTGTTGCGTTAATTGCCCTCCCCTCATTTTGAGTAGTATTGGACTATACAGTGGGGGAAAAAAGTATGTAGTCAGCCACCAATTGTGCAAGTTCTCCCACTTAAAAAGATGAGAGAGGCCTGTAATTTTCATCATAGGTACACGTCAACTATGACAGACAAATTGAGGAAAAAAAATCCAGAAAATCCCATTGTAGGATTTTTAATGAATTTATTTGCAAATTATGGTGGAAAATAAGTATTTGGTCACCTACAAACAAGCAAGATTTCTGGCTCTCACAGACCTGTAACTTCTTCTTTCAGAGGCTCCTCTGTCCTCCACTCGTTACCTGTATTAATGGCACCTGTTTGAACTTGTTATCAGTATAAAATACACCTGTCCACAACCTCAAACAGTCACACTCCAAACTTCACAATGGCCAAGACCAAAGAGCTGTCAAAGGACACCAAAAACAAAATTGTAGACCTGCACCAGGCTGGGAAGACTGAATCTGCAATAGGTAAGCAGCTTGGTTTGAAGAAATCAACTGTGGGAGCAATTATTAGGAAATGGAAGACATACAAGACCACTGATAATCTCCCTCGATCTGGGGCTCCACGCAAGATCTCACCCCGTGGGGTCAAAATGATCACAAGAACGGTGAGCAAAAATCCCAGAACCACACGGGGGGACCTAGTGAATGACCTGCAGAGAGCTGGGACCAAAGTAACAAAGCCAACCATCAGTAACACACTACGCCGCCAGGGACTCAAATCCTGCAGTGCGAGACGTGTCCCCATGCTTAAGCCAGTACATGTCCAGGCCCGTCTGAAGTGCATTTGGATGATCCAGAAGAGGATTGGGAGAATGTCATATGGTCAGATGAAACCAAAATATAACTTTTTGGTAAAAACTCAACTCGTCATGTTTGGAGGACAAAGAATGCTGAGTTGCATCCAAAGAACACCATACCTACTGTGAAGCATGGGGTTGGAAACATCATGCTTTGGGGCTGTTTTTCTGCAAAGGGACCAGGACGACTGATCCGTGTAAAGGAAAGAATGAATGGGGCCATGTATCGTGAGATTTTGAGTGAAACCCTCCTTCCATCAGCAAGGGCATTGAAGATGAAATGTGGCTGGGTCTTTCAGCATGACAATGATCCCAAACACACCGCCCGGGCAACGAAGGAGTGGCTTCGTAAGAAGCATTTCAAGGTCCTGGAGTGGCCTAGCCAGTCTCCAGATCTCAACCCCATAGAAAATCTTTGGAGGGAGTTGAAAGTCTGTGTTGCCCAGCGACAGCCCCAAAACATCACTGCTCTAGAGGAGATCTGCATGGAGGAATGGGCCAAAATACCAGCAACAGTGTGTGAAAACCTTGTGAAGACTTACAGAAAACGTTTGACCTGTGTCATTGCCAACAAAGGGTATATAACAAAGTATTGAGAAACTTTTGTTATTGACCAAATACTTATTTTCCACCATCATATGCCAATAAATTCATAAAAAATCCTACAATGTGATTTTCTGGAATTTTTTTCCTCATTTTGTCTGTCTGTTGACGTGTACCTATGATGAAAATTACAGGCCTCTCTCATTGTTCAAGGTGACATCTAGATGGTTATCAATATTTGTTATTTCTTGTGTAGGCTGCTATCCTACTTGGAAAAAAATGGCCACGTTAGCTACCGCCAGCGACATGGCCGTGATACCCAGTAGGAAGCATTTCAAGTTGGCAGGCACATCCATACAACACCGGTGCACTGGTCGACGGCTTATCAACTCGTGCAGCCCAAACAGCCACGCAAAACGGTCTTGAGTGGCAACAAATCTGCCCAATTAGTTGATTCGCTTTCCATACACCCACTCCTTTCGACACACCCACTCAAAATGTATTAATGTAGGTTACAGTGTGCCACGAATGTTACGCAAAATCATCCCATTGTCCCGCATTTGGTATTTTAAATGTGGTCACCCTAAGCGTGAGGTAGCTTGATGTACAAGTACATCCCCTGGACAGGACACTAGTCTTAGTTGTAATAGTTGCTCAAATTTAAGTTGTAATAGTACAGAAAAGTTATGCCTGGCACTGGACACTAATACAGAAATGTTGATTTTAATGCTACATAGAGTACACAAAGCAGCTTTCAAACAATATTGTTCACTGCAGTGCTCCTACTTATCTGGTTCTTAACTCCACACCCACAGCTTTCCCATTCAGGAGGCCCCCATGGTGCACAGGCTAAAAATAGTGTTTGAGAACAGTGCCGACTTTTTTGGGCGAATAATAGTTTACTCCTTGGATGTCCTGGGAGAAAGAGCTTTGTGACGTTTTTGTTTCTGCATGAGAGAGAGAGAGACCTATAGGGAAAGAGGGTGTAGTGCCATTGAATAACATGACTGCTGGAAGACTCTACCACCCACATGAACTGTTTGGAATGGGAACCAGACTGACTATTGCTGGTGAGGACATTTTTAGTTGGTCACCTGCTTGCATCACAGAAACAACAAGGGGAAAAAGGAGGACTTGGCTCAAACTCTAAATCAGGATTTTTATTGCAGCTTTACAGGCTTTAAGGTCACGCAACCACATGCCTATTCAAATTTGCTTGTGCCTTATTTGATTTGCCATTCCAAATGAACATGAGAAAATGTGTATGCATTTTGTTTTTGTTTATTTGTTTACAATCCACTTTTTTATAGATATTTTAACTTAGTATGATTGTCGTAAGTAAAAATCAATATAAACATTTCCTTAATATACAAAACATTTTGAATAAATGTTCAAGATAGGAACCGCAGTGGCCCTTAACGTTGGAGCTTCTGTTCCAAGTGTCTTCGCTACCAACCTCCTTTTGTGGCTTCAGTCTTTTGGTCAACCATCTCATCACGGATGCCAACAGGGGGTCCTCTGTTCAGCACTAAGTGCTTGACAATGTCCTCTCCAACCACATCCTGGTGTCCTTAACTGGTGTCATGCTTTTTTCTTCAGGAGTTTCTGAAACAAAACATGATTTACAAAACTGTGGTTTGTTTTTGCCAGGGGAAAAAAAGAAAGAGGGTGCTTACCTTTTTTGTGTCCGAGGGCGACAGCTAGTGCCATTGGACTATACCCAGAATCTGCCTCAATGTTAATGTCTGCCCTTTTATCTGAATTAAAATCACATGACCATATTTATTTGTGCCATTGAGATGACTACGGTACTTTGGTTTTAATTGATTTATTGTGTGCAGGGGTATGAAGCATCGTACCTAAGTGGGCTTCGGCATACCTTATGTGGTTCCTTCAAACAGCGTAGAGGAGAAGAGTACCACCGTTCTTAAACACGAACAAACATCCAATTAATAAAATGATGTGTGTTATTTCTGAAGGAATCAAAAGTCCTGGGGCAGTTATTTACACAATTTAATTATATAATTTACAACCTTACACAGTCATAAGCATTCATATCTACTGCATGTTCGAGAAGACGTTTCACTATGACTGCATAGCCTCCAGAGCTGGCCAGGGTCAAGGCACTCTCCCACTCCCATGCTATAGTATTAGGATCTGCCCCCCTAAGACACACCACACAAGGACATAACCGACAGGTTACAATCAACCACCACCCTGTATGTGAATAACCATTGAATTCAATGAACATGGGGCTAGAAAGGTCACTAATGTTTTCCAGGAGGCAATCCACCATGGCTTTCTCTCCAAACGCTGCTGACGAGAGACCTCAGGCCCAATGTCGTGCCATTCATCCGCCGCCATCACCTCATGTTTCAGTATGATAATGCACGGCCCCATGTTACAAGGATCTGTATACAATTACTGGAAGCTGAAAATGTACCAGTTCTTCCTTGGCCTGCATACTCACTAGACATGTCACCCATCAAGCATGCTTGGGATGCTCTGGATCAACGTGTACGACAGCATGTTCCAGTTCCCGCCAATATCCAGCAACTTTGCACAGCCATTAAAGAGGAGTGGGACAACATTCCACAGGCCACAATCAACAGCCTGATCAACTCTATGCGAAGGAGATGTGTCGCGCTGCATGAGGCAAATGGTGTTTACACCACATACTGACTGGTTTTCCACGGCCCTACTTTTTTTTTAAAGGTATCTGTATTCCCAGTCATGTGAAATCCATAGATTAGGGCCTAATTAATTTATTTCAATTGACTGATTTCCTTAAATGAACTGTAACTCAGTAAAATCTTTGAAATTGTTGCATGTTGCGTTTATATTTTTGTTCAATTTATTACACAGGACACAGCACACAAGCCATAGCGATCATGCTGGTTCCACCAGGCTACACAAGTCAGGCAAATTCTAGTCTTTGTACCATTGGTCAGTGGACATTTCTCACCTTTGCTCAGGTTTGTAGGCCACCTGTGAGACCTCCCCCTGAGCAGCTAGCTGGTGGATGGACAGAGCTGATGAGACATCAGAATAAAGGGTCAGTGTTATGTACATTTTAATTGTCCATATATTATACCAAGTACTATGCATAATATTTCATAATCTCTCTGTTATATACTAATACAGTAAGCCTACAGTACAGACATAGAACTACAGAGGGGTAATTTTGGGCCATTCCTGTAACACAGTGCATTACCTAATGGATTATGAATGAGTGCGTATACACAGCAGTGTTTAAGGTATTTTGCCATGAACGAAGAGTGGATTGTTTTTTTTCTGAGTTCAAACAGCCCATACTTAGTCTAAAGTTGAATTGTCAGATACTACTGCACTGTTGGCGCTAGGAACACAAGCATTTCGCTACACCCGTAATAACATCTGCTAAATATGTGAATGTGACCAATAACTTTTTATTTGAAGTAACTGGTCAGACTGTGACCTCGTTCCCATGCTCCCTATTAGTGAGAGTGGTGGAGTATTTTAACAAACTCTCATCCAAATCCATGTTCTCTGTCGTCACCATCACACCTGGTAGCAAGGAGCAATACAGACATTTCATGATGCCTATAATCATTTGAGAATGGTGTGACACTTTCATTGTAGACATGTTGACAAGTGTGATTACTGTATGAGAAATCCTATAGAGCGTTTAAAACCAACATATGTTGATGTTGTAGGACTGACAGTCATACCATTTAACACCTACTCTGGACTCCACTGGTAGACGTAGTGGACTCCACTGCTAGGCCATCATCTGAGACCATGTGTATACTGGCTGTAAGATCTGGTATCTCATCACCACCTGTACCATCCATGGTCACTTGAATCAACATTGAAATAGATATTACCATATAGAGTAAGCTTTGGCCAACAGAAGTAATGAGAACAAATATGGAACAAATGCACTATGTCTATGATTATCTCACTGTCTGGCTTACCTTTCAAAACTGAAATGATGGAAAACCATTTCACATCAGCTCATGCAAAATAGTAAAGTCTCAATGGCATAGTATAAAAATATTCATTGTTACCTTTATGTCGCAAGCAATGATTTTATATGTCCAGTTCACACTATGTATCGGATTAAATTTAGCATCATCAACGTTGTATGCTTCACTCCAATTTCCTGATACCAAAACTGAAAGTGAGTTTATTTTTAAAATCCCATGATGCAATTGATAGAGGTAAGCCGCCCGAACTGTCGACCAAAAAATGTAAATTACTTTATCAATTTAGTATTTTTGAATGGGTGCATGTGTAATGTAGGAGATGATGTTTGACTGATCTACAATAGGGAGACAAGAAGGGAAAGGAGGGGGAAAATTGAGTCCTTTGAGAAGGCAAGAAACCGATGGTGGTTAGGAGAAATGCAGTGTTATCATAAGGAGACGTATACTTGGATGAATGAGGAGGAATGGAGGGAAAAGGAGAAGCAGAGGAGGTCTAAGTGAGAGGGAGGAAGACTGAGTTTGAGTCGGGGAAAAAATGGCGGGGAAAAGGGAGAAGGTTTGTTAAAGAAGAGTGGTAGGAAATGTAAGCAAAGTAAGCTGAAGACAGGAGTAGAAATGGAAGAGGGTGAAGTATCGGAGGTGGTAGGTGTGGTGAAGTGCTCGGAGCCAGAGGCTTGCGCAGAGGGTCAGGATAAAGATGAGTCTGTGACAGTAGGAGTGAAGTTTGTGGAAAAAGTGGATCCTTGCCTTTTGCCTGATCCATTTGTGGTTTCAAGATGGGTGAAAAAAGCATTGGGTATAGTGGAATCGGTGAGGGTAACCAGAAGTGGTCTAGTGATAATTGTTTGTGTTTCTGTTGGGCAGAGGGAGAAGGCACTCAGAGTTAAACAAATGGGATAAAGAATTGTGAATTGTTTCGCTCTCAAGAAAAGGGCACCATTGAAAGGAGTGATTACTGGGGTAGCAGTAAATGTAAAAGTGGATTAACTGAAGGAGAAGATTCCCAGTGTGTGTGATGCTCGTCGTTTGGTGCGACGTAAACAGGGTGGCGAGAGTGGGGAAACAGAAGAGTCATTGTCTGTTCTTTTGAGTTTTGAAGTTGAGTCTTTGCCTGACAAAGTGAAATTAGGATATATAAGTTATCCTGTGCAAGCTTATGTGCCTAGTACATTACGATGTTACAGGTGTCATATTTATGGGCATGTGGCAGCAGTATGTAGGAGGGAGATTCCAAGGTGTGAGAAGTGTACAGAAGGGCATGAGACAAAGGAGTGTGAAGCAGTGGGGAAAGTGGTGGTATGTCCTAATTGTAGGGGTGGCCATGGGGCTGGGGATCAGACATGTCCAGTGCGAGAGAAGCAGGTTGAGGTTTCCAGGGTAAGAGTAGAGAAGAAATTGTCATATGCGAAGGTAGTGAAGAAAGTAGAGGAAGAGGGGTCAAGGGGGGGAGTGGTGAGAGTAGGAGATACAGTGGGGAGAACAAGTATTTGATACACTGCCGATTTTGCAGGTTTTCCTACTTACAAAGCATGTAGAGGTCTGTAATTTTTATCATAGGTACACTTCAACTGCGAGAGACGGAATCTAAAACAAAAATCCAGAAAATCACATTGTATGATTTTTAAGTAATTCATTTGCATTTTATTGCATGACATAAGTATTTGATCACCTACCAACCAGTAAGAATTCCGGCTCTCACAGACCTGTTAGTTTTTCTTTAAGAAGCCGTCCTGTTCTCCACTCATTACCTGTATTAACTGCACCTGTTTGAACTCGTTACCTGTATAAAAGACACCTGTCCACACACTCAATCAAACAGACTCCAACCTCTCCACAATGGCCAAGACCAGAGAGCTGTGTAAGGACATCAGGGATAAAATTGTAGACCTGCACAAGGCTGGGATGGGCTACAGGACAATAGGCAAGCAGCTTGGTGAGAAGGCAACAACTGTTGGCGCAATTATTAGAAAATGGAAGAAGTTCAAGATGACGGTCAATCACCCTCGGTCTGGGGCTCCATGCAAGATCTCACCTCGTGGGGCATCAATGATCATGAGGAAGGTGAGGGATCAGCCCAGAACTACACGGCAGGACCTGGTCAATGACCTGAAGAGAGCTGGGACCACAGTCTGAATGAAAACCATTAGTAACACACTATGCCGTCATGGATAAAATCCTGCAGTGCGCACAAGGTCCCCCTGCTCAAGCCAGCGCATGTCCAGGCCCGTCTGAAGTTTGCCAATGACCATCTGGATGATCCAGAGGAGGAATGGGAGAAGGTAATGTGGTCTGATGAGACAAAAATAGAGCTTTTTGGTCTAAACTCCACTCGCCGTGTTTGGCGGAAGAAGAAGGATGAGTACAACCCCAAGAACACCATCCCAACCGTGAAGCATGGAGGTGGAAACATCATTCTTTGGGGATGCTTTTCTGCAAAAGGGGACAGGACGACTGCACCGTATTGAGGGGAGGATGGATGGGGCCATGTATCGCGAGATCTTGGCCAACAACCTCCTTCCCCTCAGTAAGAGCATTAAAGATGGGTCGTGGCTGGGTCTTCCAGCATGACAACGACCCGAAACACACAGCCAGGGCAACTAAGGAGTGGCTCCGTAAGAAGCATCTCAAGGTCCTGAAGTGGCCTAGCCAGTCTCCAGACCTGAACCCAATAGAAAATCTTTGGAGGGAGCTGAAAGTCCATAATGCCCAGCGACAGCCCCGAAACCTGAAGGATCTGGAGAAGGTCTGAATGAAGGAGTGGGCCAAAATCCCTGCTGCAGTGTGTGCAAACCTGGTCAAGACCTACAGGAAACGTATGATCTCTGTAATTGCAAACAAAGGTTTCTGTACCAAATATTAAGTTCTGCTTTTCTGATGTATCAAATACTTATGTCATGCAATAAAATGCAAATTAATTACTTAAAAATCATACAATGTGATTTTCTGGATTTTTGTTTTAGATTCCGTCTCTCACAGTTGAAGTGTACCTATGATAAAAATTACAGACCTCTACATACTTTGTAAGTAGGAAAACCTGCAAAATCGGCAGTGTATCAAATACTTGTTCTCCCCACTGTATGTACCAGTACAGTGGGATAGGCAAGCAAGTGATATATGTTTCAGTAAGATTGGATTTTTAGCGTTTATAGCAATGGTTATTAATTGTACTGCAGGGATGGAACGTAAGTCGAAGAAAATTGAGGTTGTGGTGGCAGCTTCAGAGAGATATTTGGGTGTGCGAGACTTGACAGCAGAAGAGTTACAGAGAGTGTTAAGTGGTGATGTCCCATCATTTCAGGTTGAGGGCATGAGGTAGGAGTGAGTATATAATTATTAGTAATAGTTTTGAATTTGTGAGTGTAGTGTTATAAGAGCGTCTGCTAAATGACTAAAAATGTAAATGTTAGATGGTAGGGTATTTCTTTGCTTTGTTTTATTTTATTTTTCAAGGAAAAGAAAAGGGAGTTGTACTCCAGTCTAGTATGTGGCGGTAATGCAACAAATTGGATGCCAACCACCGTTAAACCTCATTGAAGAAGAAGACGTGATCTACAGTGAGGGAAAAAAGTATTTGATCCCTTGCTGATTTTGTACGTTTGCCCACTGACAAAGACATGATCAGTCTATAATTTTAATGATAGGTTTATTTGAACAGTGACAGACAGAATAACAACAAAAAAATCCAGAAAACGCATGTCAAAAATGTTATAAATTGATTTGCATTTTAATGAGGGAAATAAGTATTTGACCCCTCTGCAAAACATGACTTAATACTTGGTGGCAAAACCCTTGTTGGCAATCACAGAGGTCAGACGTTTCTTGTAGTTGGCCACCAGGTTTGCACACATCTCAGGAGGGATTTTGTCCCACTCCTCTTTGCAGATCTTCTCCAAGTCATTAAGGTTTCGAGGCTGATGTTTGGCAACTCGAACCTTCAGCTCCCTCCACAGATTTTCTATGGGATTAAGGTCTGGAGACTGGCTAGGCCTCTCCAGGACCTTAATGTTCCTCTTCTTGAGCCACTCCTTTGTTGCCTTGGCCGTGTGTTTTGGGTCATTGTCATGCTGAAATACCCATCCACGACCCATTTTCAATGCCCTGGCTGAGGGAAGGAGGTTCTCACCCAAGATTTGACGGTACATGGCCCTGTCCATCATCCCTTTGATGCGGTGAAGTTGTCCTGTCCCCTTAGCAGAAATACACCCCCAAAGCATAATGTTTCCACCTCCATGTTTGACGGTGGGGATGGTGTTCTTGGGGTCATAGGTAGCATTCCTCCTCCTCCAAACTTGGCAAGTTGAGTTGATGCCAAAGAGCTCGATTTTGGTCTCATCTGACCACAACACTTTCACCCAGTTCTCCTCTGAATCATTCAGATGTTCATTGGCAAACTTCAGACGGGCCTGTATATGTGCTTTCTTGAGCAGGGGGACCTTGCGGGCGCTGCAGGATTTCAGTCCTTCGCGGCGTAGTGTGTTACCAATTGTTTTCTTGGTGACTATAGTCCCAGCTGCCTTGAGATCATTGACAAGATCCTCCCGTGTAGTTCTGGGCTGATTCCTCACCGTTCTCATGATCATTGCAACTCCACGAGGTGAGATCTTGCATGGATCCCCAGGCCGAGGGAGATTGACAGTTCTTTTGTGTTTCTTCCATTTGTGAATAATCGCACCAACTGTTGTCACCTTCTCACCAAGCTGCTTGTCGATGGTCTTGTAGCCCATTCCAGCCTTGTGTAGGTCTACAATCTTGTCCCTGACATCCTTGGAGAGCTCTTTGGTCTTGGCCATGGTGGAGAGTTTGTAATCTGATTGATTGATTGCTTCTGTGGACAGGTGTCTTTTATACCCGTAAGAGTGTGCTCCTAATCTCAGCTCATTACCTGTATAAAAGACACCTGGGAGCCAGAAATCTTTCTGATTGAGAGTGGGTCAAATACTTATTTCCCTCATTAAAATGCAAATCAATTTATAACATTTTTGACATGCGTTTTTCTGGATTTTTTTGTTGTTATTCTGTCTCTCACTGTTCAAATAAACGTACCATTAAAATTATAGACTGATCATTTCTTTGTCAGTGGGCAAACGTACAAAATCAGCAGGGGATCAAATACTTTTTTCCCTCACTATACGATACTTTCTCAGTCCGCCACTTAACGCGCGTTACGTCGAGAGGGAATATCTAGGAAAAAATGTCCGGCTCATGTTGCAACCCGAACATGATGTGTGGTGCGCATGACAAAAACACGGAAACTTCCTCTGACTATATATTTACGCTAACGCTTTTACACGAATTAAACCATTGCAACTAAATAATTATGTATTGCGTATAAGATGGAGGACCAGGAGATTCAACTGAAAGTTAAGAGGTAATTAGTGAATACTTTAACTAACCTTAGCAAGCCAGCTCGCTAGTAACGTTAGCTAGCTAAACAGCTAACGTTAAGTAGGTAGCTAGCTACCTGTCTTAACCATGGATAGCTTTGGTAAACCTAGCTATGTTATTGTATGGTTATCGCTGCAGGGTCTGAAAAATTCACTGATAGCATGTACGTGTTGGCTAACGAGTCATCAGTGGCTCTTTATCGACTGCAAGAGCACGTTAGAGAGTCCCTTCCAGAACTAGTGTTACACAAAGTAAGTGTTGATTTCAAAGCAAAAGCTTACACATACTACTGTAGCTTGCTAAGGATAATAAATGTAGATAGACATTTGTTACTTTACAGTAGATATATTACTGGGCTGTCCAAAAACGCACGTCTGAAAAATCATAGCTATTTTTGCAGTAACAACATTAATTTATCTCTGCTCATCTCTCCCAGACAGATATGCAGCTCTGGGAGGAGCAAAGCCAAGGAGCAATCTACACTGTAGAATATGCATGCAGGTAACCTATAGTTAGGTCTAAGATCTACTGTATAGGTTTTTAATTATATTGAAAACATTTATTGGCAACTTAATGTGGCCGATTCCACGTCAGCTAAATATATTTTTGGTATCTCAGATTGTTCTGGCAATTCTCACATAGAAACGTAATTGAGAGGAAGAATGTTTGACATGCTTTTGACATTTGTATTATAAATCATTTTTGAGAAAATCATGTTGAAAGTGGCCATTTTAGGCCCTTTTAGACCTATACAGTGCCTACCCCTTGACTTATTCCACATTTTGTTGCGTTACAGCTTGAATTCAAAATTGATTGTTTTCTTACCCATCTACACACAATACCCCATAATGACAAAGTGAAAACATGTTTTTAGACATTTTTTGAAATTTATTTTAAATGAAATACAGAAATATCTCATTTACATAAGTATTCACACTTACATGGTAGAATCACCTTTGGCAGCGACTACAGCTGTGAGTCTTTCTGGGTAAGTCTCTAAGAGCTTTGCACACCTGGATTGTACAATATTAGCCAATTTATTATTTTCAAAATTCTTCAAGCTCTGTCAAGTTGCTTGTAGATCATTGCTAGACAATCATTTTCAAGTCTTGCCAGAGATTTTCAAGCAGATTTAAGTCAAAACTGTAACTCGGCCACTCAGGAACATTCACTGTCTTCTTGGTAAACAACTCCAGTGTAGATTTGGCCTTGTGTTTTAGGTTATTGTCCTGCTGAAAGGTGAATTAATCTCCCAGTGTCTGGTGGAAAGCAGACTCTGAACCAGGTTTTCCTCTAGGATTTTGCCTGTGCTTAGCTCCAGTACATTATTTTTTATCCTAAAATACTCCCCAGTCCTTAACGACTACAAGCATACCCATAACATGATGAAGCCACCAGTATGCGTGAAAGTATGAAGAGTGGTACTCCATAATGTGGTTTATTGGATTTGCCCCAAACATAACACTTTGTTTTCAGAACAAAAAGGTAATAGCTTTGCCAAATTTTTTACAATATTACTTTAGTGCAGGGGTGTCAAACTCATTCCATGGAGGGCTGTTTTTTTCTTCTTCCTTTCAATTAAGACCTAGACAACCAGTTGAGGGGAGTTCCTTACTAATCAGTGACCTTAATTCATCAATAAAGTACAAGGGTGGAGCGAAAACCCGCAGACACTCGGCCCTCTGTGTTGCAAACCGGATGCATGTATTTCTATTCTGTACAGACTTCCTTCTTTTCACTCTGTCAATTAGGTTAGTATTGGCCTTATGCTGAAATCCCTGAGGGGTTTCCTTCCTCTCTACGGCAACTGAGTTAGGAAGGAAGCCTGTATCTTTGTAGTGACTGGGTGTATTGATACACCATCCAAAGTGTAATTGATAACTTCACCATGCTCAAAGGGATATTCAGTGTCTGCTTTTCTTTTTTTTTTACCCATCAACCAATAGGTGCCCGTCTTTGCGAGGCATAGGAAAAACCTCCCTGGTCCTTGCTCGACTGAGGGACCTTACAGATAATTGAATGTGGGGTACAGAGATGAGGTAGTCATTCAAAAATCATGTTAAACACTATTATTGACATAGAGTGAGTCCATGCAACTAAGTTTTACTCCTGAACTTATTTAGGCTTGCCATAACCAAGGGGTTAAATACTTATTGATCAAAACAGGCTGACATTTCAGGCGGTCTTTTCAAAGAGCTCTTACACTAAAAGGGCATTGTCATCATTTTCAAAATGGCACAGTATTATTCCAACCTCATAGTGTGGAAATATATAATCTTGAATAAATTACATTAATGACATTTTTTATTTCAGAATCCAGACATACTCCATATTTTAGAGCACACTATAAGGAGTATAATGACACCAAGATGTTGTCTGTATCATGTACGGTTCACGGCTCATACGTTCTTATATTAGGCATATGTAAGACTAAAAAGGGCCTAAATGATTTGTGATACAAATGTAAAAAGCATGTCAAACATCGTTCTTCCTAATTAAGTTTCTATGTGAGAATTGGGCAAAATAGTTTTAGCTGGCATGGAATCGCCCTTGTATTTGTTTAACACATATTAATCTTTTCATTTCCAGTGCAGTGAAAAGCATGACAAACAGCAGCCTGCACTTCAAAAGCATCGATGGGCTCCTCCGTCAAGCCATCAGCATGAAGGAACAGATCAGCATCTCCCAGAGGCGCAGGTAGGAGGCAGTAAACAACCAATTCCACTCACTTTGACTCAGGGATACAGTAACAATACTGTGTATCTTTCATTTGTCTGATTGCCCACAGACCACCATTATTCACCACAGCTGAGGAGAAAAAAATGAAATTTCCCTGCTCAAGGGTGGAGTCGACGAGGCTAATAAACTCATTTTGAGTGAAAGCCAAGAACTTTTTCATAGACATGGGCCACAATTTCTTGTGTTTGTCGTTATTTTTCGTTGCCATCGTCTTTTCTTTCATTCTTTCATCACCTCTTCTTTGCATTATTATTTGCCATCATTTTTATGTTTCTCTAAGTTTTACGTTTTATTCCTTATTCCCCCACATGCACGCAGCTCACATGAAGCAACACCCCCCATCTCCCATCCCCCCTGACACTCCACCACATCCCCCATCCACTTCCTCCTGACTTCTGGAAGACAGTCCAAGGTTAGTAGTTCCTCAGGCATCACACTCAAAGCTATACTTAGCTTTAACTCGGCCACAAGGACTTCTAGGCACTCACTTCAAAATCAAGAAAAGTGCACTAGAATGAACCTGAATGTGCTATTAGGCTACTGGTTTACTTAAACTGTTCCACTTTATTTTTAGGACAGGGTGTTTTGTAACAACATACTCATCTTTTGAAATGATTTTTAAAAACGTGTTTATTCACTGTTATGAAAAATGTTTTGTTTACAGTATGCAGACTAGACTACAAATTGTATCTATACATTGTGAAATATACAGTTTTGGCAATATATTCCATAGACCATCCTTGGTCTTTACCAAACACTTGAAAATGAAAGCATTTATTGGCAAATCTTTAAATTGTATAATCACATAGCAACAAAAGCATTAGCTGTAGCTAGTAAGTCACTAACATTTTCCATTGGAATACCAGTAAGTAAACATTCTACAGAGAGCTTAATAGTGATGGAATCAAACATGGCTTGTGTTTAAAAAGTCAATACAAAGGCAATAAGGGAGAGGGATGTTAAGAAAGGTGTATTAAAATGACAATTCCATGTCTGTATTGAAATGTACATTAATGGTAGTAGTGGTTCTTGGATCATGGAGGGATAGCTCAGAGCTTTTATATAGCTTCAGCTATTTTCTATCCATACTGTATTCTTCGGAACGGTAGATAGTTTAGGCAGAATTAACTAGTCTTGTGCTAACTGCGATGACTTGTGCAGTGTATCTCACACTAGAGTAGAGTCTTTACTGGAGGCTCCTGACTTGCGGGCCAGCACGCTCCTCATCTCATTGTTAATGCCATTCCATGGCGTAGACGGAGACTGCAGCGGCCCTGACTCTGTCGACAGGGTCCTGTGCATTCTCGAGCCACCCCCACTCCCACCACTACTGTAGCCCTCCTTGTCACTGCCGTGGCTCTGTGGGCCGTGGGATGGGGAATGATGCTGGTGATGCTGCTTTGGGTCAGTACATGGAGGGTAGGACAACTGTCGGTGGAGTTGGGAGTTGTTGCGGTGCCTCCTGGGTTTGTCCCCGTCTTGGAGCTCGCCGTGGCGGACGGCGGGGGTGCACCCGCTGTGCTGGTTCTGATACAGGGTGTCAGTGTACTCCCCACCGTGGTAGTGTTGGGCGGTGCGGGCAGCTTTGACCAGTGAGTGAATCACGATCACCAGCAGAATCAGGATGCCTGAGGCCAGTACGCATGCGCTGGCGATGCCTGTCTCTACCTCAAACACCAGCAGCATGTAGATGGACATAGCTGCAGGAGAGAAAGGGACAAAGAGAAAGAGAGAGAGAGAGAGAGAGACGAACAGGAAGAGAGAGAGAGAGGGAGACGAACAGGAAGAGAGAGAGAGAGAGGGAGACGAACAGGAAGAGAGAGAGAGAGGGAGACGAACAGGAAGAGAGAGGGAGACGAACAGGAAGAGAGAGGGAGACGAACAGGAAGAGAGAGGGAGACCGCCACAGAGCGACAGGTACAGGAAGATTTGTTTATTACACTGTAAGAAAGATCACTTTTCCGGTCCCTTTCCTTCCAGAGATGAATAACTCTAAATATTGTAGTGCATTGCCATTGTTGTGTTTTTTGTGTGTATTTTCCTCTATTTGACTAATGTTTGGTCATCTTTCAGCGGGAGAAGAACAACAGATCCAGGAGTGCTAAAGGAGGGAGGAGAGAAGCACACCTCTGGGATATGATGATAATGACGTTGTGGCATTGCAGTGAGGCTCAGTTCCCTCTGAAAGGGAGCTGTGGGGTCAGGGGGTCATCTACGGTCCATTACAATGTTGCACTGCCTCACCTCAACTAGGCACTCACCTGAATGGAAAGCCAACGGCTTTGACTTGCCAGGACCTGCCTTAAGACACGTCAGTAATGCACTTCTGTCAAAGACACCATTGTTATGGGCCTTGTGTATCAATCAGCTGAAGGGACTCTGAAAGCAGTGACTTTTGTCTCGGCTGCAAATTAACTGGAATATATCTGTAGAAATCTGAATGAAGTTGTCTTTTCTAGGTTCACGCAAAGCTCTATTTGGTACAAGCTGTTGTTGTTTTGCAGTTGGTCTGAACGGATGTAATGTCTAATAAATTAATCTGATTTAGCTAAATTAAAAGTGCTTTCACATGATGTTATGTGGGGTGACTACTGTGTTCATAATACTACCAAATATAAATTCCAGACTTGGAATTGTATAAAATCGCTACCCAAGGCTTTTACTTGCGACATATAGTTAAATACACTAAAGAGGAACAATGGGTACATATTGAAGATATGCATGCTCATCCCCAGAATCTTTGTACGTGTCTATTTTCAAAGGATAAAGCTAAGAAAATGAACAACTTCATAGTTAATGAAACGTATTCTAAAAGCACAACCTTATGGAACAATCCTTGGATAGCTTTTCAGAATTCACCGATAAATGTGTCTACATGGAAAACTAAAGGCATAGAAACCGTAAATGACTTGGTAACAGGAAATACTTTTTAATTCCGTCATGGAAATAAATGTAATTTTGGACTGACTAATGTAGATAGTTTCAAATACATGCAACTTAAAAGTTACATACCACGAAATTTCGATTTGAAATCATTTGGACATCAGAGCAACCTTGAGGGAATCTTATTTGAGTCAGAAAATGATGTTCATATGATAGGGAAGATATACAAAAGCTTGCAGAGAGCATATCCAACTGACAATCTCTTAGAAAAAAATATAATCTGTTGGAACCAAGATTTAAGAATTGATGTTGGCACAAGATAGAGGGAAAGTTGGAGCATGATTTAAAGAAATTACAGTTAACGAAAATGGAAGCTAATGTGTAGAATTTATTATACAAGAGACAAAATTCACAAATTCTACAGCACAAAACAGGGTAATGTCTTAAGTCTTAAACAAATAATGAATCAATAATCCATGCTTTCTGGGAACGCTTTAAAGTCTGGAAGTTGTGGGCGGAGCTAGAAAGTTGGTTGTCAGAAGTATTACAATGTAAATTTACTTTTAATCCGTCTGTTTGCATATTTCAAGACATGGCATATACCCGATTTGTTGGAAGATTCTTTTCTCATCACTCATTTTGAAAAAACGTATACTAAAAACTTGGAAATCAATCAATCGGCCATCATTAGTACAACAGAAAAATCTAAAGATGTATTTTTTAAATAGTGAAAGTGTGTGGGCGAGAAACAAAATAGTGCAGTTTCAGCCGTGTTACGGAAAATTATGTGGGCGCAGGAGATGGGGGTGTGTTGCTAGTGGGTCTAGGCAGGTGTGATGTAGTTGATATTTGTAGGATGTTTGTATGTATTGTTTATAAAATCTTACAACAACAAAAAATACTAAATATGTTGCAGTTTGTTACTGTTGATATAGCCAATGAGTTTGTGATGCCACTTGTAACACATGTTTGTAAGATTCCTTTAGTACACTATGTTCTTGTCATTTCATTCAAACAGTTAATTATGGGCCTTACTGTTTACATTTTTTGTCATTCTTACCTGCTAAGTATACTGAAACCCCAAGGCAAAATAATCCAATGGCCACATGTCGGACAGCTTGGCTATGCAATAGGAACCAGTCTGCTCTATGGGAGGAAATGAAGAAAATGCAATCAGTGACGATGATGACATGATCATATGTTGATGGGTATTGTTCAATTAGTTCACAATTATTTATTTGCACCAAAATAAAGAAATAATTTCAAGGTTCAAATTAGGCCTTTTCTTCTGTCCATTCTTTTTCTGTCATGTGATACCTTTCTGCTCAAAATGAGTTTCATTATAGAATGCTTTGTCATTACTTGCACTGGAGTGCACAGAAGCTATGCCTTTATTTATATGAAAGTCATTAAAAGCACAGGCACAATTCTAACCCAATGTGGGAAAGTGCCAGGCCTCTGAGGCCAGAGGCCATGCACTGGGTGCATAATGAGGGAACGCTATTGTTTGTTCAGGATTCATACGGAGTTCAGATATGGGGGGTGGGGTCGGTCAAGCAGCCTCTGTCGGCACCTGGCACACACTGAAAGTTATATATGAATTTATAAGAATGTAATATTCTTACTTTAATTTCTGTCAATCTCAAACTTTAATATAATTGAAGCATGTTATTCAAAAAAGTAAACTGCAGGTGCATCAGTGATACAATTATTGCCTACAACAAATAAAATATCCTTAAAGTATGTTGATGGATGTGTACCTTTCTGTATCTTCTTCTCCTCTGCATATCTCGGTTGTAAAGTAGCTATGCAGAAGGCAGACCATGACGGAGCTCAAATTGAGCGTGAGAGAGAGAGTAGAGAGCACTGTAGACACTGGCATCAGCACTTCCCAAACATTAGTTGGCATGATGGAGATTTTGGGGGGAGATTCCTTCACAGCAATCTGTTGTGATTGTATCTGGAAAATCAGAATGACTGATAGCAGAGACATAATCCCAGACAGGATCCCTAATGAAGACAGGACCATCAAAGACCGCTGGCTATAAACGTACGTCATATTTGGCCTATAAATCACAGACTGCCGTGGATGCACCTATTTTTGGAAAAAGTTATCCGGGTGGGAATCTCCTTTATCCTCGTCGTACTCGCGTTGTCTTTTGCGAACTCTTCAATCTGCCATATAATGTACTTGTAACGAGTAGAAACAATTTTGAATAGGAAAAAGTAAGAAACCTGGGATTGAGAGTCCGATCATGGAATTTGCAGTTTATTTGCGTGTTGTGCACAAGCACCCGATCCCCCGACCGAGCATGTGATGTTTTTTAAATCCCCGGATAAAAAATTTCGCGACAACAATGGATTTTTCAATTGGAATCTCCAAAACAATGCGTTGAGATGCTCGTCCGAAGCAGTCCACTGCCGGTGGAAAAAACTGTTTTCAAACTTTTACATGTTAGAAAACTTCACTTTACTTTCCAAAACATGAATTACCACCGCATGAATGCATTTTTGGAATGTTAAAACAATTGCAGTAGTGCACCTTGAATTTAAACTTCAGATACATTTGAAATGTGAAAAAAATCGGCCGCGATTTGATTGTGACCAGGCCTATGGTTTTTATTTATATTTGTTAGCCCTGGCTACAGTTATATATTTGGTGCAGTTTAATGCTATTGAAAATTAATAAGGATCCATCAAATGGCATTCATCAGTTCTCGATACCTTTAACCTCTATAATTAGGCATTACCTGTAAATCAAGCAATAGAAGCCTCCTGGAAAATAATCCCACTAAACAGCTGGCTGCAACCTGGTCACAGAGCAAAACGTATTATATGTTACTACAATCTATGCCACTCCATTTAGTATGATATGTTACATTAGGTTACATAACATTGGCCTACCAATGTAATAGTGGTCATAGGAATTGTAGGACGTATAGTATGTTACAAATTACAATTTGTATGATATGTTACGAATTGCAATTCGTGCAATATTCGTACAATTCGTTAGCTAGGTTGCTAATGTTAGCTATGCTAGGGGTTAAGGTTAGGGTTAGGAGTTAGGTTAAACGGTTAAGTTTAGGGTTAGTGTTAGGGGAAGGGTTAGCTAACATGCTAAGTAGTTGCATACTAAGATAAAATGCTAAGTAGGAGCTTAAAAGTAGTAAGTAGTTGCACAGTTACTAATTAGTTAAAATGCTCAAGTTGTCCGTGATGAGATTTGAACATGCAACCTTTCCCTTACAAAAAAAGATTGCAGTTTTGAAACTGCACACTAACTACAGTTATACTACAGTGTACTGCAGTTATACTGCACTCTGACTGCACATTTTTTTCGTAAGGGTTGGGTTGCTAGATGTTCGCGTTATATGCCCACCCATCCACCCCAACCAACCACCCTTCTTTCGTTTTTGCCACTGTCTTAGTGTAATATAGCATACTAAATGGCTCAAATAATGTAGCTTAATGTAGCATATCATACTAAACAGTCAAACGTATTTTAGTAACATATAATATGTTTTGCTCTGAGACCAGGCTGAACTAAATAGTGTCTATGTTGGTTATTGTTTTGTGTGTCATGCAAGAGCTTCTTAAGGGTTTATCATAGTCCAAAACATGTACATGTATGCACAGCAGTGTTCTAGAATATTGGACCGTTGGCTTTCATAGCCTACTTTTCGAACTCTCAGCACAGCTCAAGCAATTTCTCCAAATGTCAACACATTTCAAATTAATAGAGGGATGTGTACCAGAGAGGCATTGGTTGGGAATTGTGGGGAGGTGCTTGTTCCGGCTGTGTGTCCCCCACTGATGGTGGTCTCAGAGCCTTGTAGCTACTGTATGTCAAAATGGGACGCTGGACTATCGCATCCTAAAAGTGGTGGAAAAAGTAGCCAATTGTCATACTTGAGTAAAAGTAAAGATACCTTAATAGAAAATGACTCAAGTGAAAGTCACCCAGTAAAATACTACTTGAGTAAAAGTCTAAAAGTATTTAGTTTTAAATATACTTAAGTATCAAAAGTAAATTGAATTGCTAAAATATACTTAAGTATCAAAAGTAAAAGTATAAATCATTTCAAATTCCTTACAATAAGCAAACCAGATGGCACCATTTTCTTGTTTTTTTAATTTTGGGAGAGTCGGGCACACTCCAACACTCAGACATAATTTACAAATGAAGCATTCATGTTTAGTGAGTCCTCCAGATCAGCGGCAGTAGGGATGACCAGGGATGTTCTCTTAATAAGTGCGTGAATTGGACCATTTTCCTGGTCTGCTAAGCATTCAAAATGTAATGAGTACTTTTGGGTGTCAGGGAAAATTTATGGAGTAAAAAGTACATTATTTTCTTTAGGAATGTAGTGAAGTAAAAATGGTCAAAAATATAAATAGTAAAGTATTTTTACTTAAGTACTTTACACCACTGCGTCCTAGCGTCTGTGGACTATGATTTAAGCTTAAAGTGTAAATCATAGTCCACAGACGATGAGACATGATAGTCCGGTGTCCCATTGTGACATTGGTAAGTGGCTCTGAGACCACCATCCACGGGGGATGCACAGCTTACTGTATAATGACAAGATGGTCTTGTCTCCGCCCTAATGATGGGAGTCGTTGTCCCAAAGGCGGAAAGCAGGCGGTCTGCTTATCGGTCTGCTTATCATGGACAGATTTTTACAGGAGTGAACCCTCTCCCATCGCCTCTTCCAAAGAGTTCCTGGGAATTTGAAATGAAGTGGCCTGCCCTCTCATCCTTGAAATCTCCCCCTTTGAATCCAATTAACTTTTCAATGGTTGCCTTGGAAACAAACACTGCAATACCCAGAGAGCACACTGCTGTTGGTCTGTTGGTTTGAGGCTACTGCACTGTGCACACACACACACCCACCTTTCCTTTTTGGCCCCTATAGGAAACTTAATCAATTTCACCTTTGAAACCATTATTGTATATTGAAACAGAGAAGGACTTGAATGACAGTGAATGTGTCTTATTGGTGATCATTGGGACCTCCATGGATTGCATCACCAAACAGTTTGATGAATAAATAGGACTACTATTTATGTCCATCATCCTGATAGACTATGGCTATGCCACTTTGAGCCATTCAATTCGCTTCCATTCTCTGAAGTTTCTTGAAGTACACGGATGGTCTTTTTGATATAGTAAACAAATAGAATACCTTTTTGATTTCATGCAAAGAAACCCTTTTTGATGTCATGCAACAAAACGTTGTTGTTGTATTTGATCTATTCTGAAGTGTAGGCTGTAGCACATGAAAAATCCCACAACACCAAAAGCTTTAAAAACCAAAGCTTATTTCATGTATAGTTTTTTAAATGCATATGTACTGATGCAGGTCTCTCTAGCAATGAGGGGTAAGGGAAATGAATGTGTCTGCATGTGACTGTCTGACTCTGTCTTGAAGACAGCAGGACACCTGTAGAGCAGCTAAAGATTGGGGGTTTGGGGTAAAGGTCTGCCTCAATGCTGTTCTGATGGAGATAAGCTTGCAGCTATGAAAGTACACACAACGAAGAATTGCTCTCACACATGCACACTGACCATGGAGTCTATTTCTGAATTCGACAGCCCCACCACACACTAAAATGGCAGCCGCTGATGTTGTCGAAAGCAGAAGTGAGCAGTTTCAGGAAAACAAAAAATACGTCTAAATGTTTCCAAAAGCTCCTTCATCTGACTTAGAATGCACTCTCTTTTTAATGTGATTCATAATGCTTTTGGGGATACATGCTATGGTCACGACACTGAAATGTAAACTCTGTTACGGCATCGAAATGACTAATATACAGTATATCCTACATAATTAATAACCTTTAGACAAAGGGTCAACACTGCTTTTATGATTCTTAGCAGGTGGTTTTCCTTTTATTTACAGGTGATGGTTGTGTGTATTCTCCACTGAATTGGGTGAATCCAGCTGCACACAGGGATGTAGCCTATAGCAGGGGTGGAAGCGGCCCTCTGGGATGTTGCTAACTCTTGCATCATAAAGGGCCTCCTTTAAGATCATCAAGTATGTGTGTTGGGGTGTATGCGTGCAAGCATGTGCTTGTGTGAGTGCACATTGGTATGTTTGTGTGTGTCTCTGAGTGACGTTTGTGTGCATAGTGCCTGTGTGTGTTAGGAGTGTCTCTGTGTGATTATTCAATGTTAATATCACTTGTGCTTAAATTATCGTTAGGAGTGTCGAAAGCAATCTGCCACCTCCCAAAAATAGTCAAGAATAGTTGTTATAGGTTATATAAATGATTGAGTTATTACCTCTAAATATATCTATTAAGATAGTCCACATACTATCTTTTGGCATCTTTGAAGTGACAAATGGATACTGTATATAATAAACCATGACAGTACTATGTTTGTCCTAAGGGATGTGGCTATATTATTGAAGAGTCAAAGCCTTGATTAGCTGTGTGATATCAGTCAAATGGTTATTATAGATCTAACAAAAGCAGGCAGAACCAATATAAGTAATACTGGTAGGACTAGTAGGCAGTGAGAGTCAATGCAGTGTTTTCAGATTGTACCACAGTAGAGTAAGTACAGAGCTATTGGATATTGGATCCTCTTATTGCCAGTATATTCACTCACCTATTGAAATGGACCTAAATGGAAACAGGACAAAGCGAAGGATGAATCAAAGTTACCTATCAATAGAAAACTTTTAGAAAATCCCATGCATCATCACATCGTTTAAAGTTCAGTAGCCTACCTCTCTTTTGATCATTTTATTTCTGTTTTTGTATTTTTATCCACCACTATTCCCTTCTATTAGGCTGCACTATTGATCATTTACCTTGAATTATCTATCAACTGACACACAGCCAATGTAAGTGAGTCAACAAGCAAGTCAGCAAATAGGGGGCTCCTAGGATGTGCTGTGAAACAAAATGAAAGGATTAGTAGCTTATTTTTCATGTAAAGAAAATAGGTTATTTTTATACACAATCCAACTCATGGCATACCAATGATTGGCCTTCATTAGAACATATTTGACCAAGCACATTTTGTTTTGAAAACCCAAGACAGTTTTCTTCAGAACAAGGCACAGAAAGCACAATAGTCAAAAATAGCACAGACCAAGACCAGGCTTACAGTGTATCTTATCTTGTGTCTGATCTCTATTTGTGTGTGTGTGTGTGTGTGTGTGTGTGTGTGTGTGTGTGTGTGTGTGTGTGTGTGTGTGTGTGTGTGTGTGTGTGTGTGTGTGTGTGC